GTAAATTGTGCTGCTGTCATTGTTCCCTTTGCAATGGGTTGCTGAGAACCAAACCAGTTCAAGATTTTAGAGACTGGGTGTTCAGAACTGCTCTACAAAAACATATATGACTTTATCACTTAGATACAACCCGCAGCCGCAGATTCGGACCCCAGCCGCCTGCGGTCGGCCACACGCATACCGTCCGCGAGCCTGCCTCACCCTTACGCTTCTGCTCGGAGAAGCTGCGAAGGTCCCGCCGTCCCTCGGGATCTGCCTACACTTGTTCACATTCACTTACTACCATTGACTGCACGTAAATAAACAGGCAGTCGCCCACCGTGGGGGTCCGGGGGGCGGGGGAGACGGGGCAGACGGCCCGCACCCCAGGGCTTTCAGATCTCGGCTGGGTTATCACCCGCCTCGCTGGAGCTGGAAACCTAGCCCCAAGCCCTAAGAAACCCGGCGAACCTTTTTATCCCTCCAAGGGTCTGTTGTTTTGCTTTTGCTGTTTCCTCACAGGTCACTCTAAGCAGAGACCTCCGATACACCCATTGCCCCTGAGGGCACCATCCGAAGGCTCATTATTTTTACGTAGAAATGGCCTTGAGAGCTTGGACCCGAGGAGAATTACTCAAACATTAATTAGAAGATTGAGATTCATCAGTTAACGTTCAGGGAGTTCACACATTGGACAATGGGACAATTAAACCTGCTAGCAGTAACCCAGAATCTGCTGTGGATAAACTAGCTAGAAAGGTAAATGGCCCACATCCTAAAACACGAATAAGACAATTATTTTAAGCCCCAACTATTATGACTGTTCATCAACCTCACACCACCTGTCATCCGTTCTACTCCTGTGGGCTGTGATCTGCAAAGCTTGTTTGGGTGACCCTCTCTTACCAATTGGCACCAGGTGGAAGAGGCAGAAGACAGGAAGCAGAACACACATGCACTATAAATCCCCAAAGCTCCCTCCAACACCTACTTACAAATCTTTGTTCAAATGTGTTCTAACCAGTTCTTCCCAAAAGATCATCTGTGATATTGGATCTCTCCCTCCTTCCCCCAAATCTCTCTCTCTTCCTGCTTTTTCTCTAGAGCAATTACCACCTTCTAATATACTATGTAAGCTGTTTTTTTCTTTCATTTTTCCCACCAGAACATAAGCTCCATGAGGGCAGGTATTTTGTGGGGGGTGTGGGGGGGTCTTTTTTACTTAGAGCTATATTGCCAGTGCCTACAATACAATAGGCACTCGATAAATATTTGTGCAATGTTGACATTATGTACCCTCCTGAAATCTGTGACTCTAAATCTGTACTTAGAACAAGTGCCTTAAACTCTCTCTAATCTCTGTTTTCACCTTCTTACAAAATCTGCCTTTAAGCTCACCCAGGCCACCACCTGAAAAACCACACCCTGGGAAGTCCAGAAAAGAGTCGGCACATAATGGACACAGTGAGTTTTTGTTAAGTGAATGAATTTTCACTTACTTGTATGTTGCTTTGTAGTCACTTAAATATGAATCACAGATTTATTTTGTCCAACTTCAAGTACATGATGAGCTTTTGTCCTCTCTTTCAGCTGTTAATACAATGTTCTCCCTATAGTTAGTCCTCCATAAACCTTAAAAGGACAAATATAGAGGGGAGGGAGAAGCTTTATATTGCACTTTTATGCTGATTATGAAAATTCTGGCATTAGCAGAAACCTAATACATTCATGTGGTCTCAGTTATCATCCAGCTTCATTTGCAGATCACTTTATCCTTCCTTCCTTTCCCGTCTACAGCAATGCACACATAAGCTATGTCAAGCCTTTCCGCCAGTCAGTCCTGGGTGCTTTCTCAGAAGCCAGCAGCCTCCCTAACATGTCCTTTACCGTGGGCTTAGAGCAGTGGATTTCAAAGGTAAGCACTTCATGAAGCATTTGACATACTTAGAAAAATGCAAGTTCCTAGGCCCCTCATCCAAATATCCCATTCAGGTGGTCTAAGATGAACCAGAAATCTTCATTTTTATCAAATCATGTGATCTTAAACCTGTGGTCAGCAGTCTGTACATTGGGAAACTTTCATCTAGATCAGTGGTTCTCAACCTTGGCTGCACATTAGAATCACCTGGGAATCTTTTTAAAATCCTGATTTCTGGGCCTCATCCTCCGGAAATTCTGTTTCTTTGTTATGGG